GTGGGTATTTATTTTTTTAATTGTTTTCGGGTTTTACTGACTGCTTGTCTTGGGAGTAGAGAGACAAAATATAATGCTACTCTTTTTCTTTTTTTCTCCTAAGGCTGTATAGTAGCTTCCATGGAAGAAACCTGTCAAAATTCATTTGCTAGTCTTGGTTCCATTAAATTTTGAATGCAGAGGATGCTGAAAGGAGACACCATAGAAAACTCAGCTAGGCCATCCAAAAAAATAATAATAATAATAATAATAAATTCCCTTGCCTTCCACTCAACCTTTTATCTAAGGCTTCCTTTTCCCTGTTGGCTGCTGCAGTTTAATTATAATTTAAATAGCTTGTAGAAAACAAAGTGATACATTTCATGAAAAAGAACTTGCTCCTTTCCCCACACCCTTGCCTCCAGCACAATTACACCTCTCCTCCCCCACCCTTGAATGTCAGACTAAAAGAAGTAAATTATGAAAGCATTGTTTAAAGCAACCTACTTGATTGTTTGGAATAATTCTGCATGGGGGAAACTGACAAGGGACTGAATTAAGCACAAAATGCTTGGGGAATTATCCCCCCTAGTTTTCTTCTATTTTCAGAACTACCTGGTTGCTTCAAAAAACACACCCCCACAAAAAATGAGGGGAAAGAGGAGAGCAAAGAGAAATAGAGGGAAATAGTCCCTTGACCTGCATTATTACCTATAAGTGGTTTATTAGACCATTTTGCTAGGTTAACAGTTTTGTAGTGCCTCATGGCACAAGGTCACCCAAGATGGAAATGTGAAGAGATCATTGGCTCCAAGGAGACTGCAGTCTGTCTCAAGTAGACAAAAAAGGGACTGGAAGGGGAGAACTCAGTACAAACAAGGAGTGCAAGGTGAGGTGGGAATCACACAACACAGACTAAAAGTAATTGTGCACTTGAGTTAGGCTCAATTTTATATTTTGCTAGCCATCTGTTGGTTTCAGCCTGCTCAATCCAGATAAAACTCCATATGTATTTTTGTATAAACCTCCATATGTATCTTCATATGACCCTTGGAAGAAATGCTTACAAGAACATGTATGGAGTATCTACTTTCTATACGTGGTCCACCCAAGAAGTGTGCCTTACTGCAACATGTTTCCCTACCATAATGCAGTTTTCTTTGTGCCTGTCTATCATGAAGGGGAGGGATCTTTTGTCTCTGCTTTTCACAAATAAATGCATTCTTGTGCACTTCTCTTGAGGGACAAGATTGACTTGCAGTGCCTCAAAAATGCTAGAGCCTGGATGCTTCCAGCTGCATGGATGCAATCAAATTATGCTACTGAGGGTCATATTTACTATTTGGGGAGATGTGATGCAAAGTGTTGTTGATTCACGTGGGAAGGGATCAGAATTATCTAGGAGGTTTTTGCCAGGGTGAGATTATAGCTTTTTCTCAGTTTTTCATTTTCAAACTGTATTAAGGTTATTCAAAGGCTTATCCAAAATTTTATATTATGTTTATTATTAAATCCTGCTAGCAAAATTCAGCAGCATAATGGAAGGCAGACTTTGAAGACTTCAAGCGTGGGTTTGAGAGATGGAGGTGGCTACAGAACTGCTGGTTGTCCATCCCTCCTTTAAAGAATGAAGAGATGGCAATCCTCAGTGACAGGGCACATGCTCTGAATACAGCCCTCAACATCAGTCAATACATTTGTTGCTACAACTAGGATATAGCCAGAAAAAGCCTCACGTGGCCAAAATTTCACATCGCTTACCTATATTCAACACTCCTGAAACACACCCTTGCTTAAGCCCATATGAAATTCAGAGTACCGTCTGTATGTACTGTTTAAAAGAACCCCAGATACCATCAAGCTCTCAGATGAAGCCACTAGGGTCCACAATTTAATTTCTCTCCACCGTGGCTAACTTGAGAAGAACCTTCACTGTTAGACAATTCCAAAGTGTTGTTTCTTTTCTTCTCTCTCCACCCACAACAAAGGACCTTTAATCCTTCTTTTTTATCCCCATCAATTTAGGATTGCCCGTTGCCTTATGTGCAAAAAAAAATCCTTTTCCCAGATGGAAATAAAATAAATTTTGATATCTTATAAGAAATCCATTTTGATGCAAGCTTCTGCCAATCCAGATAAAGAGCAAAGGGGGGGGGGGGGCTTTTGATATTTGCCAGTTGTGTAAGGGAGATATTGGCTGTGCCCAAATGTAATAATAAGAATAAATGATTATTGCCAGGATGGATAGATAGAGCACAATCAAGTTGCTGCCAAGCATCCTTTTCCACTGAGAATCCTTCTCCTGTTTGTATCCCACAGGCTAGATGGTGATGTTAACAAGTCCTTAGGTTATCTGAGGAGCTGTCTCACCCCCATTATATCAGCCCACCCCACTCGGTCCAGCAGAAGGGGCACATTGAGGAATTTTGACTGGTACGGTC